ACAGTTCGACAGCGTAATCATGTGTATAAAAAAGAAAATCAAACACGGAGAGTCTAAAAATCCTTTTATATGAGGAACTACTTTCTTCCGCCATTCATTAACATCTGCAGCTGACGTCAGAACAGCAACAATTGTTGCTACTTAACAAACGTCACTTTAGAGCTAGCGTTTGAATGATTCTCTAGCGTAATGTCTATTTGGTTAAAAATCACCTCAAAGCAGAAGCTGTGAACTACAACCTGTGAGTGTTTTTATTTGTTAAAATTGATGATACCAGGTTCAATGTCTAGCGTTAACTTTATGCTGTAGCAATGATATAAACAATGGGAAATGCTGTTTTGCACCGCAAACGATTTAGCTAAAAATTCATATTAATCAGTTAAACTACTGTAAACTCACACACACTCCACCAGCACGTTCGTGTCTCTATGTGTGTGTGCAACTTTGCATTAATTCTCTATAGGCAGCTTTTACATGCGTTTCACATATCTCAGATAATAAAGTCGCAAAACATATGTGGATGATACATATTACTTACACCTGCATATTCCGCATATAAGTGAAAGAAGTCGTGTAACGCGTTAAGTTAAAAAAAAATGCAGGGGAGCTCACCTAACTCATGGTAGCAGCAAAAAATAAACAAAGGCTCACACAGGTAGCATCCCACAGGTTGACTGAGGTTTACACAGCAGAAAAGCGCATGCTTATACGTGTGTGACGTGGAGCCGATCCGCGAATCGCAGCACATTATGACGATGACCAATCAGAGTCACTTAAGGGCAGGCCTTTCAGAGGAACTAGGAAATATACCAGTCATTTTCATGTTAGCTTAGTAGCTGTGTATAATTAAAGATTTATGAAAAAATAACACGATTTCCTTCAAGTGAAACATGAGCACACATTGCTTTGCATCTTATAAACACAACCAAGCCTTAAAATTACATTCTGGACCACCCCTTTAAGATTATAAGGTTGAACGGCATGAAATGCCATCAGTCTGACATGTCTCAGTATTTCTCTGTTGCAATCGGAGATCACAATAATTACCCTGTAATAGCCAAAGTATTGCAATCACTACCAGATTACTGTTGTGTTTGCGATACAGAAAACCGAGTTATTCAAAGAGTGGCCACCACAAAATACATACATTCCTTTTATGTAAGTCACATCTCACACTCAATACACTACAATTACTATGGTTTAAATACAACAATACAACATACAAATGAGAGAGATCGACTTAGAAAGTCACTTACCAGTTTTATAATGATTTGATCAGATAATTTGATTTGATCAGAGTTTTTCTCCTGTAAGGTCTTATTATTCTGTCTCTGTCCCCATCTTATGGAGGTGACAACATCAACCATCTTTGCTCAGTATGACTACTTAAGCTAATGGCTACCGACACTTTGTCTCTCAGAAATTATAAATATTTAAAATAGGCACATCTTATAAATAAACTGTATAGATGCAATCTAAACGACAATATTCTCACCTGCAATATTTGTCAAACTGTTGTGAGTTTATTGATCTGCTGTCACTCCATGTGGGCGAAGTACAGACGGGTAAGGAGGCTGTAAGAGTGCTGGTACTGCAGAATATTGCACGGCTATCAGCCATTCAGAGCTGAGAGCCAGACTGAACTGTTGCATATATATATATATATATATACATTTCCAGTCTTATTTGTTATTATAACCATTGTTATATTATTGATTTATTTGTTTTCTTTTTACTTAGTCCCTTTTTAATCTGGGGTTGCCACAGCGGAATGAACCGCCAACTTTTCCGGCATATGGTTTTTATGCAGCGGATGCTCTTCCAGCTGCAACCCATTACTTGGAAACATCCATACACACTTATTCACACACACATACACACTTCTCCATTTACACCTGGGGATACTCATCCCGAGGTCCTCAGATTATGCGGAGTCACTGATTGGATCCAAGACCAGCGACAAGATGATCCCAAGGTTTCCATAATCCGGGACCAGGCCGTATCCTGAGCTGTTGCTGCGCTGGTGGTCATGGGGGGAGTGGAGAGTATGAGACTGATTCCAGTGATGCTCCAGGGACAGACGAGTCTTCTTGCTGTGAGTTGACCGTGCTACCCACTGCGTCACCATGAGGCCCCTATTGATCTATATTGGTTTTATTTTTGTGTGTGTGTGTGTGTCTTTGTTGTTCTGTCAAACTACAAAGACTGCCAGTTTATAATATCAAGCACAAAAACTAAAATATTATGTCATTAAAAAAAAAAAGATTAAACAAGAAAGCATCATTGGCCATAAATGGTGTCTCAATCCATCCCATGTTTGCCCTGAGAGAAAGACAAGACTCTAATAAAAGGAGTTTTATCAAACTTTGATAATGTAAACAAGATGACGATAAAGCAAGGCATCAATTAAAGTTTTTCTCTGCTCCTAAAATTTGATGTGAAGATTTGGCATGGTCATCAGAAAATCATTCCTTGGCTTGGAAATGCTCTTCTGGCTGATAGCGGAGAATACTGATATAGCTTTAGGGCCAAGAGGACTGCCAAGGTCAACACAAGCAAGAGAACACTTTATGAAAAACATATCAAAAACGACAGCTGGACATCATGATACTAATTTAAATTTAAGGGCTGATGAAAACGAGAAATAAAACCAAAACAAAGACCTGGTTTACATAAATCCACGGGAATCCTTTTTGTTTCCAAAACAAATAAGGGCTGTTTTGTTCTCGGGTTTACATCAACCGAGCGAGAGTCATGTAGAGTTTCTGCACCGTTTGTTTACAAACTCCTGAACTTTTTTTCTTGACAGGGATTTTTCTGACGCTACGTCAACAGAGGTGGAATGCGCGCGTGCCAATAGATGTTAATAAGCAACGATAGACGCGCTGTTCAGAAGAGAGCTGCGTGAGTTTACTCTGTAACACACTTGTTGTTTTATCTCATCACAAGTTGACAGTTTTGATGTTGCTATTTGGATTGGGCCAGGCTAATAGCAGAGATGGTTATTATTGTCTTCGCGCCTCAACCTTTTTTTGCCGAAGGATGGTAACTAATTCTTAATGACGCGACGTTGCATTTTAGACGTTTTCATACTATACTGTACTCTATTTTTGGGAGATAGGATGCTAGTTCGTGGATTTGCCGACAAACTAGGGACATATCAATGGGTCAAATTCAGGATTTGAGCCGTAAGTGTATATAGGATGCTTTCAAAGCAAAAGCACGTCACCTGGTTCCATGTTATCCTCTTTACGACTCTCATACCTCTGCAAAGAAGGTAAACTGCAGCTTTTCATCTTCTTCTTCTTCTTTTTCTTCTTCTTCCTCCTCCTCCTCTTCTTCTTATTGAGCTGAATAAATTTAAAAAAATCTTTGTAAACGAATATTTCTGAAAAGCAGCAACTTTTAATTATTTTAATTTAATTTGTTTTCGGCTTAGTTCCTTTTTAATCCGGGGCTTCCACAGTGGTATGAACTGACAACTTATCCGGCATATGTTTTTATATGCAGCGGATGCCCTTCCAGCTACTTAATTTTTGTAAATAAGATAAAATGGTTAAAGCAAAAATTGATGCATTTCTGACTTTGCATTCAGTTTAATAAATATTTTTAGATGACGACGCAATTAAATAAATGTAAAATAAATAAATAAATAAATAAATAAATAAATAAATGGTTTGGCTTGAAGAGGGTGGGCCATCACTTGAACAAAGAAGTCTGAAGAGAAAATGTATTTCTTTCTTTCTTTCTTTCTTTCTTTCTTTCTTTCTTTCTTTCTTTCTTTCTTTCTTTCTTTCTTTCTTTCATTTATAATTATATTTAAACCTGTTTTATTGAATTTTTAATGTTTTAATCATTTTAATTACTAAATTATTTTATTTCTTATAATTGTTTTATTTTATAATTCTGTTAATCTTGTTTATGTAAAGCACTTTAAATTTCCATTGTGTATGAAATGTGCTATAAACAAACTTGTGTTTTTAGACATGCAAACTATATTGTTTTTTGTGGTAATGTGTATCTTTAATTTTTTTATAGAACTATTTCTGTTTCTTTTACACCACAGGGTGAATGGGAACCCTTTAGTAATGGATCCCAATAGCATCTGCCGTAAAACTAGGATGTTGGCTGGCAGACACACTGACCTGTGCCAGTCTCAGCCTGAGATCATTCAAGAAGTGGCAAAAGGTGCCCGGCTGGGCATACGAGAATGCCAACATCAGTTCCATAACCATCGTTGGAACTGCACCAGTCAGGGCAGAAACCTGGCCAAGATCCTGCAACAAGGTGAGGAACAATACAAAAGCTACTTTTTTTGCTACACCTTGCAAGCGCTGAGTTGGGCCTCTTTTGCTTTCAGTATTGCATTAATTTTTCTTGCTACAGATTCAAGAAGATGCTAGAAACATTACTCAGAGATATTAGTCCATATTAGTATGATGTCCTCATATAGTTATAGACTACACTCATTCATGATGCAAATCTCCATTTTCACCACATATATTAGTTCTATTAGTTTGAGACTAAACAGGTGTACTCAATAAAGTGTCCAGTGTGTATAATTTATAACTGTAAGTCATAATTCCCCTTAAACATAATTTCAAAATAACCATTAGATTGAAAATATAGAAAACATAAAAGCAAAATGTACTTTTTTCCTGTAATCAGATCTGCCTTAATTCCAAGAAAGATGTTGTTTTAATAGGTTTTGTTTTGATTTGGTTGGGATCTGCTGACATGTCAAATGATGTTTCTGCAGATTCTGAACTACTCTGCAGTTCTTTGCTTAGTCAGAGATTTATATGGGGTGTCTGTGCATTTTTTATTATTATTTCAGATTGTAAACATGTGATATGAATTCTCACAATGATGGTTTTAAAAGTGAGTGTCGCTGTTGAATTCCTTGTATGGCCTTTAGAGGGCATGATTATACTACAGTTTGACCAAAGTGATTTCTTGACCCATAAAACAAGCAAAACAAAGCAGATGTTTTTTTTTTTAATTATTAGCAGATTGAAAGTACATCATAAAAAAATGTTAGTTACTTAAAACATAACACTACATTGTTACAATACTTACTCACTTAAAAAGTGAGTAAATCATTGTCCTAAAAAGTGGCAGGTTGGCATTACTTAAAAATGTGTAAATCCAAAAAATTGTATTTGTTTTATAATTAAGCACATTGTACATTTACTTAAAGGATTAGTTTATCCCCAAATTAAAATTATGTCATTAATTACTCATCCTCATGCCATTCCGAACTCTTCGTTCGTCTTCAGAACACAAATGGGCTATATGAGAAGCTAGTGTTTTTCAACCAATGATGAACTTCTGGTGAAAGCTGTATGTGACTGTTTTCAATGTCATAAGGTTCCTTTTAAACCATTGATATTGAAACATGGTTAAATATACTTAAGCATTCATTTGGTTGTGTAAAGTGTAAAAAGAAATGAAAGACCGTGTAAACGCTAGCGCCATCATTAGCAGCAGGCTAGCAATTCTAGAAATTCCATTAAAAAATACTGGAGTAAAATTAATTTGCATATTTTAAAGACATTTATAAAAAACATAATTTAATGCAGCGCCTCTTTTTTGGTCCGATACCCACTTTATATCGTATCTCAGCCAGGCAGTGAAGATTGCTGTTTGTTTTAAAGAAATCAGATCTTAAACCCAGCGATTTTGTATGGAAATCCAGAAAGTTACCACATCCGCAAAAGCATCCTCAAAAGCCCATATGCCTTTAATAGTTCAATTGGAATATTATCAAGCTAAAAAAAAAAATACATTTTTGTGCGCAAAAAACAAAAAAAATATCTTTATTCAACGGTTTCTTCTCAGTGTCAGTATATTGAGCAAGTTTACAAGCAATGTGCAATGATGTACACTTGGATCATACGGCAGAGGCATATGTGTATTTGACAGAGGCCATATACGTGTGCGTGCAGTGGCGTTACAAGGTGGGGCTTTGGGGACTTAAGCCCTGATGTATTATCAAAACCCCCTGATCTTTTGGAATATGTTGCACTTAAAATTAGGTTGTATAACATTTATTTTGTTATCCAAGCACTTAAAATGACCACATACATCATGCTCATTCCACTTAACGCAGCGTTTGTGTCAGGTAATTAAATAGTCAGCTGTTCAGCACTACCTGTTTCTACCGGCAGGTGGGAGTGGCACTGTTGTCACATGGTGTTCAAAAGTCCCGCCACTGCAATGTCATCATTCATTCATTATTTTTAGGAACTGAAGCTAATGAGGTCATTATACAACAGTTTCGCCAAACTAAATAGTTCTAACTACTGATGAAGCTTAATATTTGTTTTCACAGGATAAAATGTGTGTAGTTTTGGTGAAATAAAATAACTGTAATCAATAAAATGTGCGTCATATAAATTCACATACAAATTGTTCCTTTTTGGTGTTACAAGTCATAAAGCTTCGCAATTTATTGTTAAAAGACTGTCAACTCAAAACCTCTTTATTTATTATTAAACAATTTATTATCCTATTATTAAGATCAGAGTAGATCACGTTTTGAAAGTGGGGGTATTTTAGCAGGGTGAACTTTAACTTTTTTTTAAGGGGCTTTGAGTTGGACTTCTTTGGGGCTAAGCCCCTTATCCATTTCAACCCTAGCAACGCCCCTGTGTGTGTGCCCCCTATACTGACACTGAGGAGAACAAACTGTTGAATAAAGTCATTGTTTTTGTTTAATGTGTGCAAAAATGTATTTTTGTAGCTTGGTAATATTCAGATTGAACCACTGAAGATAAAATATGGTCTGTTTTGAGGATGTTTTGGGGTATTCTTCTGGACTTTGAATGAGTTGTGACCGTTGCTGTATATATGGAGGATAAGGGAGCTCTCCGATTTCACCTAAAATATCCTTATTTGTATTCTGAACATGGACAAAGACATCAGAGGTTTGGAAAGACAAGAGGGTGAGTAATAAAAACCATCATTTAGATTTTTGTTTGAATTAACACTGTGCAATGGGGTCATATCTTTAAGTAAAGTCCGCTAATCACTTTTTATAGTCCATATGTGTCTGAGAGAGAGAAGAGACTATAAAAAAAGTCTGTTTTGAAAATGTAATCTGTTATGATATATTTTTTTAATCCAAACATGACTTGATGGCTTATTAAACTTGGCTAAATTTATAAGCCCAACTTTTGTACAATTTAAATTTAATCCCAAGATTGAATTCCACTTGGAGGAATGCTTTACACTAAAGGGGAAATTTTTCTTTTGGCAGTTCAATGTGTATCTAGGCAGGTCTAGACAACGGAGATGTGCGAGGAATGTGAATCTGAGTTATTGTTAATGTTGTAATTCCGCAAATATTTAAGTGATGAGTTTGATGGGACGTCAAAGTAAAATTGGTTTAGATAGAGATCGTAATCATACCCATACCATGAGATCATCCACACAACAGAATGCACTTTTTGTAGGTCTACAGCTTTGTTTATGAACAAAAGAATGTGAGCTGTGGATCTATGGACTGTTTTCTAGATATCCGGGAAACTGCATTTGTGTATGCCGTCACAGCTGCCGGGGTGATGCATGCAGTGACACAGGCCTGCAGCCAGGGAGCGCTGCCTCAGTGTGGCTGTGTGACCCTTCAGAGCTCCTCAGAAACGTACCGCGTCTCCCCAGCAGAGGAAGTGCTCATCCAGGCCTCATCTCTCCATGATTGGCACTGGGAGTGGGGCGGCTGTGGAGACGATGTAGACTTTGGTTATGAAAAGTCTCGTCAGTTCATGGACATCAGGCAGCGAAAGGGCAAGAGCGACATCAGGAGCCTTATTGACCTGCACAACAACGAGGCAGGAAGAGTGGTATGTTTACATTTCTGGGATTGGAAATATGACAGAATAGGAAACTGTAGTTATTATTTTTAATAGTACAGAGAATGTAGTATTATTTTTTTGCTCTCCCATTTGGTTCAAAAGCAAATGAAAAAGATATTCTACTGCTTCCCTTTATTTTCTAATAAATATACAGAAAGAACAGGGAAAGATCTGTATTTCAGCAGTACAAATGTAGGAAGATCTGACATGTAGTTATTTATTTATAATAATACAAATAATAATTAAATAATAATAATTAGTGCTGGGCAAAGATTAATTACAATTGATCACATCCAAAATAAACATTTGTGGATTATATGTGATATGTGTTTTAGCTATATATTTATTACAGTATGTATATGTGATATACACACATATACAATACATAGAAACAATATACTGTACACAAAACAATGTTGTTACATAGATATTTACAATTTATATGTTTTGTACACATATATTTTATATATAAAAATAAATAAAATATTCTCAAATATATGCATGCCTGTGTGCATTTATATATACATAATATACACACACCCTTAAATTATTTTATTTTGGATGCGATTAATAGAAATACATTTTAGCCCACTAATTTTGCACTAATAATAATAATAATAATAATAATATAGATTTTTTTTGTAATTATTGAAGTTAACTTTTTAACTATTTATAAAAATATTATTGTAAGAAATTGTATTATTATATTATTATTTTGTAGTCTCATACTTTGTTGATTTAGGATGTTATTTATTGTGGAAATGCATCATTAGGAATTGGTAATTCAAACTGCTGTGGCGACCCCTGTTAAATCAGAGCGAGTGAGTGTTTCATAATTTAGTTGTTTTTGCACTGGGTCTGTGAGCACTGCACATGAAAAACTGGCATTTATAGTAACCTATATAACTATATACTTGGAAGTAAAGATTTATAAAACATCATGATTTAAATGTGGTTTTGGGTCAGGTTTTCTTATTTTCATGTTTTTAAATAAGAAAATTACTCTGTTCATCAAGTTGGCATTTATTAAATATATAAACAAATTAATTGTTAAATATTTATTACAATTTTAAATAACCGCCTTCTTATTGTATAAGGTTTCAAATGAAATTATTACTCCAGCCATTATTGCTTTTATTACCATTACTACCATTAATAATAATAATAATAATAATAATAATAATAACAATGGTTCTATTTAATATTAGAGTGATTTCTAAAGGATCATGTGACTCTGAAGACTTGAGTGATGAAGCTGAGAATCACTGGAATAAATGATTAAATGATAAATTACTTTTGAACAGTTATTTTATTGTACATTAGCATTTCACAATTTTTGCTATATTTTTTATTAAATAAATGCAGCCTTGGTGAGCAGGATAAGCTTATTTTAAAACATTTAAAATTCCTACTGACCCCAAACTTTTGACCGGTAGTGCACGTGCACACACACACACACACACACACACACACACACACACACACACACACACACACACACACACACACACACACATACACACAAACAGTTGAAGTCAGAATTATTAGCCCACCTTTGATTTTTTTTATTTCTTAAATTATGTTTACCTGAGCAAGGAAATATTCACAGTATGTCATAATATTTTTTCTTCTGGAGAAAGTCTTATTTGTTTTATTTCAGCTGGAATAAAAGCAGTTTTGAATAAAAAAAAAAAAAAAAAACATTTTAAGGTCAATACCAATCAGTACCAATATTATTCACTGTCATTATGACAAAGATAAAATAAATGAGTTATTGAAAATTAGTTATTAAAACTATTATGTTTAGAAATGCGCTGAAAAAAATCTTCAACAGAAAATGGGGGAAAAACACTTACAGTAGGTGTCCTTTTTATTAATTTAAAGTATAGTTCCCCCAAAATGTAAAATCTCAGTACAAACATACATGGAACTTTTCACAATATAAGTTAACCTATAACAAAAACAGACTGTATGCCCCTTCCTGGTAGCATTAAATACTTTTATAATCCATATATCCCACTGCACATTCTGACACGCTGTCAACTGAAGGCTAGCTGAACATCTGTCTGCATAGCTTACAACATTTAGAAAATAATGCAAATACAGTGTGCTATGTGACGGGCTTTTGGTTTTCAAAATAAGAGTTCAACATGCATATAATTGTAAAATAAGCTTATTAGTTCATATTAATGATCTCATGTTTAATAGTTTGTGTATTGTTCTGATTGGTCTGTTTTTTTTCAGTAGATTTTACACTCACCAGATTTGCATGAGAACGAGGAAACGATGGTGTTTGAGGCTCACAGTATACCATTTCCATACTGAACTCTTACTAACCAGCTATGCCTGGATATATTCAGATTTTCATTATACGGCCCCTTTAAGTAAAGTAATGAATAAGTATATACGTGAAGAAGTCAAAATTGTTGGCCCTCCTGTGAAGTTTTTTCTTTTTCAAATATTTTCCAAATGATATTTAACAGAGCAAGGAATTTTTCACAGGATTTCCTATAATATTTTTTCTTCTAGAAAAAGTCTTATTTGTTTTATTCAAGCTAGGATAAAAGCTTTATAAGAATAAAAGTTTTTTTTTTAACCATTTTAATGTCAATATTATTAGCCCCTTTAAGCTATTTTATTTTCGATTGTCTAGAAAAAAAACATAGTTGTACAATGATTTGCCTATTTACCCTAACTTGCCTAATTTACCTGGTTAAGCTTTTCAATTAAATGCTCTAGTGTCTTAAAAAATATCTAGCCAATTATTATTTACTGTCATCATGGAAAGGATAAAGGAATCAGTTATTAGAAATGAGTTATTTGAACTATTATGTTTAGAAATGTGTTGAATAAATCTTCTCTTCGTTAAACAGAAATTGGGGGAAAATATATACAGGGGGCTAATAATTCAGGAGGGATAATAATTTCAGCTGTAAATCTGATTGTCTTGACAATCAACAGATGTACAAGTACACTTCATCCTTTCAAATCTTAGTGAGTTATAATGCAATATAGCAGGTCAGAAAAAAAGATTATTATTGTCTTCCATTTTGATCAGGCCATCCAGATACAGATGAGGACGGAGTGTAAATGCCACGGTCTTTCTGGGTCCTGCACTCTCCGCAGCTGCTGGAAGAAGATGCCGCTCTTCCGTCAGGTTGGTGATCAGCTCATGCAGAGCTTCCACACAGCCGTCCGCGTGATGGGTGGCAATGATGGGAAATCGCTGGTGTCCATCGATCCGGATGCTCCCCCCCTCGATGCCAATGTCCTGATCTATTCTGCAGAGTCACCTGACTTCTGCAAAGCCAATCACAGGAGCGGCACAGAGGGCACAGGGGGTCGTGCGTGTAACAGGACAGAGACGGGGCCGGGCGGCTGTGACAGTCTGTGCTGTGGGAATGGGTTCGCGGATTTTACAGTGGAAGAGGAGGAAAACTGTGAGTGTCGCTTTCACTGGTGCTGCGAGGTTCAGTGCCAGACATGCTCTCAGAGGAAGAATGTCAGCCTCTGCTTGTAAAAGAGTGTAGTGGCTGTAATAGGACAGTATGATTTTTGTTTTTGTGAATCCACCAGAGGCCGCTGTGTTCGCTTTTTAAGATCTCAAATTTCTCTGGCAAGTGTCATTCATGCCTGCTGTTCTCACGTAAATCCACCAGAGGCCGCTGTTGACTGACTGACCAATCGGCCGACCCCCCTCGTTCTTCTCTAAACTGATTTTTACCACGTTTTCAGATTTTACCACATTCTCACCCTTTTATTTACTTGTTTATTTTATTTTTGGCTTCTGTTTCTGTCTTTACTGCTTTCTGGAACCGTTCTTCACTGGACTCAAACCCTGCTATCGTGATCAGCTCCTCTCTGCGTCTCAAGTCCTCTGACATCCATGGAGAGCTACTGGACAAACTGGTAACAGCGAGAAAGCCTTCCATATGGAGGTAAGAGGTCAGCTGGTAAGCGCGAACAGCGTCATTTTAAAGACGAAATGCATCCATACGTACTTCTGGCTTCATAATTTGCGATTTCCAGAAATGTATAGAGGGGACATTTACAGAATGAGCCTATGTTGTTGTTTTTTCGATGGACCACTTTTGAGCAGTCTCTGTAAGTCAGGTGGGCATCAAAGCTTGAATGTATTGTCTTTTTAAAAAATAAAACTAAGTATATCATGCTGCCATCTGCTGGTCCTTTATTAAGAGAAATCAGTGTGCATGCAGCATTTTCATTTTTTTTTAATATTTAATCTATCAAAACACTACTATGTATTTTTGTGCTACAACAATGGGAAAAACATTTTAAGATTTATTTAACTTTACTTTGCTTTATTTACAATAATTTGCACAAATCAATGTCAAGTATATTTTACTAATTTAATATCAACGTGTAAAATGTGCTTAACTTTTATATAAAACTGCTAAATAAATTGAGTAAATGTTAACTAATTATCTTTAAAAATTATCAAATAGTTTAATTCTTTTTTAAATAATGCTTTTATAAGTTATAATATATATATATATATATATATATATATATATATATATATATATATATATATATATATATATATATAAATATTTACTTAAATCATTTGAGTAGTCTGAACTTAGTTTAGAGTGTAAGGATCAAATTTTATTTAAGAGGTACTAATAGCAAATAAGGGATAATAATAACAAAATGTATATCTAACAAATAAGTAGCTTTTAAAAAGGTACATATTGCAAAGGGAAAGAATATTTAAAAATATTGTAGCATCATAAATATGTTTTGCAGATTAAATGTTAAAACAGTTTTCAGTAAGCCTGCTACATTTTTCGATTATTTAAGGCACTTTTGTTGTTGGAAAGTTAAAGCCAGAAAAACAGTAAGATTTTGTTACTAATATATCTTATTCATGTTCTATTTTCAGGCATTGGGGAATAACATAGCACTGTGAATTTTATTGTGACATTGTACAATGATTGAATTCATTCATTCATTTTCTTTTCGGCTTAGTCCCTTCATTAATCTGGGATCGCCACAGTGGAATGACCCGCCATCTTATCCAGCATATGTTTTTACGCAGCAGATGCCCTTCCAGCTGCAACCCATCTCTGGGAAACATCCATACACACTCATTCACACTCACACTACGAACAATTTAGTCTACTCATTTCACCTGTACCGCATTTCTTTGGACTGAGCACCAGGAGGAAATGCAGGTAGAACATGCAAACTCCATATAGAAATGCCAACTGACTCAGCCGAGGCTCGAACCAGCGACTTACTTGCTGTGAGGCGACAGCACTACCTACTGCGCTAATGCGTCGCCTACAATGATTGAATAAATCCAAAAAGGTTTTTATTGGCATTGATGGGTTCATAAAAAACTCTAAATATCATGTTTATTATATTTTATGTTAAGATCATTCTAGCTAAAGCACAATTTCACAAGGAAATGTAACGTTTTACATAGTGTCAGATAAAAAAAAAAATGTATGAGAAAATATGCAATTTTTAACTTGTTTAAGCCCAAATTTAAAGAAAAAAAAATGTTTTTATCCATGTAGCCTTGTTAATAGTGTCATATGAACATGCTTTGCATTTATTTTCTTCAGGCTTTTATTTATTTAGTTAGTTTTTTTAATTGTATTTGAATATATGGCAACTGTAGTTGCCGGTGGGCAAAAATGTTGTAACAAGCCTTCAATGTAAAATTTGAATAGGAGGAGAACATTTGGCTCTCGAACTCAAAACAACTGCTTTCAAAAGATCAATTCATATTCATAGACAATTGTTACAAATATTGCAAAATTTTATTAGAATTATTAATTAATAAAACTATGAATATATAATAATTCAAAATGTCTTATTCCCTATACAGCAAAAATCCTAGTATAGTAGTCCTAGTATGAGTAGAGAGTATTTGATCCAAATAAAAAAAAAATCTGTCAAAAAGTAAAGTAAATTCTGGAGTAAATACACAAAAGTAAATACATACCGCAGTGGTGACATCTAACTAAACAGGTATTTTCAGTCAATCTCACTACAGACTTTTGTAGACATCTGACAGAAATAGTTAAACAGTTTAGTAACAAGTAAAGCTGCTGATTCTGTTTGTGGAGTTGTTTAATGATCCTGATGAGCTGAGATTTTAAGAGATTTATTGAGTTTTCAGTTGAGTTCCTTAGGCCCTGTCCACACGTACACAGGTATTTTCATTTATTTATTCGTTTTCTTTCGGCTTAGTGACTTTATTAATCTGGGGTCGCCACAGCGGAATAAACCCTCAACTTATCCAGCATATGTTTTACGCAGTGGATGCCCTTCCAACCGCAACCCATCTCTGGAAAACATCCATAAACACTCATTTGTTTAAATTGTCACTACGGACAATTTGGCTTACCCAATTCACCTATTGTGCATGTGTTTGGACTTGTGGGGGAAACCGAACAAAACGGAGGAAACCCACGCCAACACGAGGAGAACATGCAAACATCACACAGAAATGCCAAATGACCCAGCCGGGACTCAAACCAGCGATCTTCTTGCTGTGAGGCAGTCGTGTTACCCACTGCGCCACCGTGCAGCCCCCACAGGTATTTTTGTAAACAGAAACATTTTTTCTCAATTTTCTAAAAAACATAGATTCTGGTGCTTTTGAAAATCTGACAAGAGTTTTCAAAAAAGTGGTTTTCAGTGACCTGATACTGTGCTTTTGTGTAGACAATACCCACGTTTGTGTGGACAGCAGGGCCTAAGGTTGTGACTGAATTTGGATGTAGTTTTGTCTTTTTCCTCAGTGATTCGGCTTTTTAACAGCAGGAGTTCAATATTATCCGTTCACTTAGCACTTTAACTCTGCTCCAGTGTTATTTTAACTCTTTGTAGGAGTGGGACCAGCAGGAGATGTTACTTTTACTCTGAGGATTTTGCAGTGTCTCAAATTGTGTATCAAAAAAGGCTACTTTAAAGTAAAGATCAGTTAAATGGTTAGGGTATGTTTAGATAGGGTATTACGAAAACAAAGATCATTAAACAAGACCAATAATCTTGATTTATTAACTTATAAACACATTATTCCCTGATTCCCTATTATTTATGTACTTACAAGGTATTTGCTCACCGGCAACTATAGTTACCACATTTCACAAACTATGCACAAAAATATAGATCCTATAAGATTTTTTTTTTTTTTTTTTGGATGGATCTAGAGACCTTCATGATTATGTTGATTTACATTTGTGAACAAAAAATTATTTTCAGTAATATGAAAATTACCTTAATTTGGGAGGGTAAGCCTCCATTTTGCATCCTGAAATTAGAAGTAGGAAATTGAAAGCCTCGTGTGAGAGGAAGTAAATCAATTCCTTTTTTTTTTCATTCTTGAAATCATTTATTTGGCTGTTTGTTAGCATGTCGTTGAAAAATTAAACATGGATAACGTAGAAAGTTACTCGCTAAAGGAAAATGGCAATCATGAACTTCGACAACTATAGTTGCCGGTGGACTTAAATGTTACTGTTTACACTTTATATGCTATCACTAGGCGATATCCTTAAAAACAACCCAGGCTCCTTGGCCCGCCCGCTCGCTTCCAACCCAAGCTCATTCTGAAAACATAGTTCCGCGGACGTTTCTGGAGGCTGCGATTTACGTGGCCAGAGGTACGTAATGTATAGCTGCATTTAATTTTTTTAAGCGAACGCTATGGGTCGGTGTGACGCCGCTCCTCTTTTTGTTCGCCAGCTGACAGCTCACCTCAGCAGTTTGTCCGGTTAGCTTATTGTGTACGTCGGTGAAGTGGAGACCCGGAGAGGAGCCGACCGCATTGACTGCGACGACCGGGTTCGAGTCCGGGGAAGAGCGGTTCCAGAAATCATGTAAGACAAAAACAAAATCCAAAAAATAAAGTGAACGAGTTCATAACAAGCAAGTTAAAAACATGGAGTTAGCTTCCACTGTTATGCTGATGACACACAACTTTATATCTGCTCTTAACCTCATAACTTGCATGAATTTACGAAATTAACAGATTGTATAGCTGATAAAATTGGATGACTAAAAAATACTTATTACTAAATTCAGATAAAACGGAGGTCTTGCTTATTGGTCCCAAAAACCTCACACGCAAAAACCTAGAACACTCTTTACCCCATGATGGATTTTTAGATCAGTCCTCATCTTCAGTCAAAAATTGGAGGTGATTTTTGACAGCAACCTGTCATTTGAAAGCCAAATTTCAAGCATCTGTCAAACTGCATTTTTTTCATCTTAAAAATGTTGGCAAACTTCTAAATATGCTATCAATGTCTGATGCGGAAAAGCTTATTCATGCTTTTATGACCTCTTGATTAGATTATTGTAATGCATTACTTGACGGTTGCCCTGCTGGCCTAATTAACAAACTTCAGCTGGTTCAAAATGCAGCTGCCAGAGTGATTTCTAGAACAAAGAAATATGATCATATTACTCCAGTTCTTTCATCATTGCATTGGCTCCCTAATAATTATTGTATAAATTCAAAACATTTATTGACTACCTACAAAGCCCTGAACGGCTTAGCTGCCCAGTATTTAAGGGAGCTCCTGATGTATTATAGCCCCTCACATCCACTACGCTTTATTATTTCTGGACAATTGATTATTCCCAGAATATCAAAATCAACTGTAGGGGGAAGATCTTGCTCTTATCTTGCACCTAAACTCGAACAGCCTTCCTAGCACATTTCAGGAAGCAGACACATTCCGTCAGTTTAAAACTAGATTAAAGACACATCTCTCTGCATTAGCATACACATAAAACACAAA